GTCTGCTAACTACCTCTTGGCAGACCTGTTTCCATAAAGGTCCCAAGAGGATGCAGGATTCAGTTCAAATGCAAAAAAACAAAAACAGAAAACAGCCAACCAAAAACCCCCCTTGCAGTCACTAAAACAGGAACTGCCCAGTTGTGGTTACTTAGCTCTGCAATGCAAGCATCCACCTTATTCAAATCAGCCTTCATCTCTCTCACTTGCTGGACTCAAGTCTCCAGCCCTGGGTCCCTGCAAGCAGAGCCTGTGTAGCCCTTAGACAGCAGCAGACACGGGCATTGCCCCGCAGACCTGGACCTCAACTTCTACTCTGTCTGGGGGGAAGCAGGGTTGCAGCCTTGCTCATCCCCACCATTGACACTGCAGATCAGCCCAGTCTCAGCCATGCAACTACCTTGATCTTGGTCCTAGCTGAGGCCAGCCTGGCTGGGGGGATGGAAATGCAATCCAGTGCATGCTTCCTACACCCCCTCTCTGCTCATGGGCAGCAGAGGCCAAGAGCACTGACTAAGCTAATGGAGAGCCCAGCAGCCTGCCCCATGCCACCAGCTGGGCTCCCCCCAGCTCCCACGGAGCATGCGCACTGCGGGCCTCCCCCTGGCAGCCGGGCTTCCCTTGCACGCGGCGCGCATGCGCCCTGCCGGCCTGACCCCTGCAGGAGGAGCAGGGCTTCCCCACGTCCCGGGGCCAAGGGGCGGCACTGCGCACGCGCACCGCCTGCCCCTGCCTCTTCATTCCCTGGGCTCCCAGAAACAAGGCGGGAACCTCAAAGCCCTGAGCAATGCCAGTCCCCTTAGACAATGCACAGCCCCTGGCCTGTCCTGGCAGGGAGACCCCCCACACCCCTCCCGGGCCAGCTCTCCCACAGGGCAAGCCTGGCAGAGCTTGCCCCCCTGCTCTGTGCAGGGCAGAGGGATGCTCTCCCCATTTCTGCACCGCCCTTAGGAGGGCAAAAGCCCAGGAGCGGGGACAGCAAATCAACGAGACCACTGCCTACTTTGTGGGTGCCATCCTGTGCTGATGGAGCACCTGCGCTAAAACTCGCAGCTATTAAAATAAAAATTACAGGCATCCATTCTGGGTAAAAATTAAGATGCCATCTATGTGCAAATGGCTATAGCCCCCCCTTTCATGTCAAGGTTACCGGTTTTCAAGTGTGCTCCTCGCCAGGTGGTTGGGCAAGCTGGGGGCAAACAGCAAAGGGGCTGCTGCCCCCCCAGATATAATTTCCCCTGCTGTAGCAGTGGGATAAATGCAAGGCAAACCTCCAAAAAGGGAGAGGTGGGGAAGATCCTGGGCTAGAAGGCCAACCCCTGCTAACCTGGGTAGTAAAAGGATCGGGCACCCCGCAGCCCCCCGCCAAATGTAGTCATGCCTGGGGAGGGGGGAGTCCCAGCTGGCGTGCAAAGATTTCTGTATAAAGAGGCTGAGTCTGCAGTAGAAACCTGCTCCCTGCACCGCTCAGGAGACCCGCATTTGGTTCCTTTTGGGAGGCAGAGAGGTTGTCCCCAAAGGACCGGGACACCGCCTTCTCCAAGGGCCCCGCTGGCATTGCTGCCATTCACCGCTGCTTCTAGGAAGGAAGTGCCCAGAGGCTCAGGGCTGCAACCCGATTCAGCCTAGCGAGCCCCCGTTGCAGCCGGGAGCTGCAGCTCCAGCCCTGGGGGGGACCCACTGCCGTGCCAAGACCATGTCTGGGGCCACTCGGGCTGGCACCTGCGCTGCTTTCGGGGGAGCGCGGAGCTGGCTCACATGCCTCCCATCCTCTCCATCCTCCTTGCCCAGCAGCTTCCCAGCCCACCCTCCCTCCCAGCAGCAGCGGCCTTAGGGGAGGGCAAACCGGGCAACCGCCCCACACCGTAGAGGTCCCACATTTTGGGGGGGGCAAAAGTTTGGGGGCACAGCCCGGCGCTGCCAAAGCCAAAAACGCCCCGTGCCCGCGCGCACAGAAAGAAGCAATCGAGGCAAAGCGGAGGGGAGGGGATCGCCCACCCTGCTCCTCGCCCCCCAGGGGCCTCGGGCACCCTGCCATGCCCACGCGCCGCGGCTGCCCGCCCCCCGGCCCCCGCGCGGCGGCT